CTAGGCTCCTCTACCGAGGGGGCACCAATGGCCCAGCTCTGGTGAGGTCCTGTGAAGGGCTGCGTCAGTCAGGGCTCCTTGGAGGTTCATGAAGCTGGTGGGGGGCCTCTGCCCTGTGAACCCTCAGCATGAGGAGCTAGGGCCCACCCAGAGCTGGGGACAAGTGGACACCCCAAGGTGGGGCCTCAAGGAGCCACTGGCCCTTCACGCTGGGCTCAGGTGGCCCACAGATGCCATAGGAAAGATGTCTATGCTCACCTCCCCCTGCACTGCAGCTCCCCAAAGCCAGTGCTCTGCTGTTGAATGTGGACCTGTATGCAGGATGGACATGGGAGGTGAGTGACTGTCCCTGGGGGCCCTCTTGTCCCTCTGGCTTGGGCAGTATGTCCCCTACAATGTGGCATTGGTCTTTACTCCTACCCCAAACCCTGCACACCCCTGTCTCTTGTTTGACCCTGTGGGTTCCCCAAAGCCACATGGCCCAAGTGGAGCCTAGATTTGCCCCAGGCGTCTCCCATGGCCCAGTGGTGTGGCCTGGGTTCTGCAGCGTCTTGCATCTTGTGGACCCAGGTGACTGCCTGGGCCCTGATCTGGACTGGCCATGACTCTGCCTGCAGCCCTCCCTGCCCACAAGCACATGCCGAGCGCCCCTGTATGCGGGTGGGGTCAGCTGCAGAGTTGTCCTGTGGACGTTGTGCGTGTGTGCATGCCTGTGTGTGCATGTATATGTGTGTGTGTGACTGCCTCAGGTCCCCTGCATGCCGAGGCCACAATGTGTTACAGCTCAGGGGTCTGGCTGGCCGTGGATGCGGGGGGACATCAGCCAGGGGTGCTGTACAGGGGCCTTGATGAGGCCCCAAGTGGGAACTGGAAAACAGTAGGCCTGGGCCTCAGGTCCCCACACCAAGAGCTGTGGGGCTTTGGGCAGGCCTGGTGGAGGTGGTCAGTGTTGGATGCTGCCCGGGGCGGCCTGGGGAGAGGAAAGGCCCCCGTGAAGACGCTCACCCTGGAAATGAGGCTCAGGGGTCCTCAGCTCACCAAAGACCTATGGCAGACATTGTGGCTGTCTGGGTGTTGGGGGGGCTTCCCGGGCTCATGAGAACCCCTGTCTCAGATGCAGCCCTCACCAGCTGGACTGTCCCAGGCATCTCCCGCAGGCCTGTTTTGATTTCTACTTAAAGCTTTATAGTGCAGCCCTGGGCGGCTGCTTTATGCTAATAGAGCTATGCATATTCGATGAATGAGCCGGCAGGGGGGCGGCCACAGCTCAGCCTCTGCCCAGCAGGGGTCCCGACTGCCCTGATCTGTCACTGTCCAGCCCAGCCTGAAATATGGCCCTGCCTGCACCCTAGGAAGAGGCCCTTCCCCTGCCCCCTGTGTCCCCAGCTCTCCCCCAGGGGGAGAGGACAGCTCACCCTGGGGCAGCTCCTGGGGCCAACCTTGGGCCTGAACTCAGTTCAGAGCACTGTTGCAGCTCTCACTTGCTGGGCGACTGGCAGAGCAGCCAGACCTCTAAGCACCTCTGCATCCTGCACCATTTGATGGGACCGCTGGGGCACCTGCCTCGCAGGTATGCCGTGAAGGGCGCGTGAGGGCTCTGTTTCTGCTATTGAGGTCCCTTCTGTGTGGCAGCTGGAGGAAGGGTCGACTTGATTTGCTTTAGGACTTACCGGAAAGACTGGTGGGGCGCACTTCTGTTCCCCTGACCCCCTCTCAGCTGCCCTGAGCTAGGCAGCTCTGCTCCACCATACTCTCTGCCACGGAGCTGGCTGGCAATGGGTTGGATCCTCTGAGCCACATTAAATCCCCGTCCTTTCCATGATAGGTGTCAGGTACTGGGTCTTGAGGTCGGGAAAGCTGACTGATACAGAGAACGGCTATCAGAGAAGTGGGGTCCTTACTGTGGTTTGGGAGCCTTTGGAACTGGCTCGAAGGACAATTTGGAAAGGTTTGAGGATCCCAGCTAGGGAAGCCGAGGATGGTGTGAGCAGAGCTTGATGGGAGATCCCGGTCGCAGCTCAGAAGATGAGGACGGTCCCCATCGGCAGCTGGACTCCAGGCCATGCATACTGATCCCTGCCTTTCCCCCTTGTCCTGAGACAGTGTAGCTGTCATTAAAGGCAGTGGACTCATTTGACAGAGGACATTTGTAGACAGCCAGTTGTCAAGCTGTGGCATGGGTCCTGCTGATGGTTTTAGTCAGATTTATAGTGAGAACTGAGGAAAAAAGACAGCACAGAAAAACTTGAAAAGCTATAATTTTGGCCCAGAAGGAACTCTATGTAAAGTGGGGACCAAAAGAAGTGTGGGTGCTGAAGAGATTCGCACCAGTGAAAAGAAACCAATACTTTATGTGGGGAGAAAACAGTAGCCTTGCGGGCATCTCAGAAACCAGCCAGACCCCACCCATAAATACACTTTTCATTTGAGAAGAGGGTACACAGCTCAGAGAGGGCCTCCGAGGGCGTCGGTTCTCTGGGTTTCACTTCTTTGTTCTCAGCCACCCGGACACTCAGAGGCCACTGCAATGGTAGACCAGGGGACCTGGCTACTACTCATGCTGACAACTGACCTTGGCATCATCCACGTGGTGCTGGTTTTCATGACATGCAGAATGCAAGAGCTGTGAGCTTGAGGAGGCTTCCAAGCATGTTTCAAAGGACAGCCGGGGGTGGGAGGCAGGCAAGGAGCCCTGGAAGGGCGGCGTGTAAGGCTGTGGCAGTGAAGGCAGAGGTGAGTGAGACCCCAGAAGTCGGAGGCGCCAGGAATGTGGAATGTTAGCCAAGAAATGCTGCAGGCTGTGAGAAGGACCAGCCCGAGAGAGGCCATGGAAGGTGCAGCTGGCGAGGCCGGAGCAGGAGGCTGTCCGAGCCGCTGGAGCTCACACCTTACCACCCCGTGCTCTGGACACAGGAGACCTAGTAGCTGGGGTTAGGGTTTGCCTCGCTGGGGTTTTGGCCTAGCTTTGGTCTAGTTCTTTTCCAATTCCTCTTCTTCTATGAGAAAGTTTACTCCATGTACCGTGGAATTATGCAACTTTTAATTTTTATGTTGGCAGAAGTTGACAGATGTTCACAGCTAAGAGTTTGCACTGATTCTCAAAAGAAACTTTGACTTGACTTTTGAAAGATGCTAGAGCTGTGGAGACTCGGGGGAAGAGCCTTTGGCATTTCCTGCCATTTGTAGGATAGCTGCGTATGTTAGTGGAACTCTGAACTCGCTGTTGTTTTTATTTGGAGATTCAGGATGGTTTAAGGGGCTGTTTGAATATGAAGTTCACAAGAGGTGGTGTCATGGTCAGGGTTTGCAAGGGGGTAGATTAATACAGGAAGCATAATTTATAGGATTATTGTATAATTCTTACCCAAAAGGTCAAATGCAGAAGGATGCAAGAGATATGTCCATGGACTGCAGACCCAAAGAATCCAGCCAAAGGCTTGGACCCCATGGCAACGTCCTGCACAAGTTCAGCTGAAGACCTAGAGCATATGGCAACACACTTGATGAGTCCGACTACAGACCTCGAGCCCACAACAGTGTCTCATGCAAGTCTGTATCAAGGATCTGCACTGGGAAGGCCCAAAGTCCATGGTGGAAGCCAGAAAGTCTGCACCAGGAGCTGAAGGGTCTGTACCAGCAGGCTGAGGGGGCTGCACTGGAGCCAGGAAGTGACGTTCAAGGTGAGGACCTGACCAAAGAGAACCACAGCCATCCTCAGCCACGCTGAGGACCAGAGCTCCCTCCAGCGATGAGAACAGCCGGGTTCCTAGCAGGACAAGCTTCTCCAGGAGAATCAACAGCACTGTCATCCCATCTAGTTCTCCTTTTATGCTGTTGGCAACCATCCTCAGGTGGGCCGCCCACCCCAGAACCACGATTCAGCTGGCCAAAAGTTAACCCACCACAGGCCGGATGTGTGGCTTAGTGGGGGAGTGTCAACTTGCTGTATCTAGAGTCCCTAAGGGGATGATGGAATCCACTTCTGGGTGTGTCTGGGCGTGTCACGGAGGTGGGGCCTCTCAGGTCTCTGTCTGGCTCCTCTCCCTTCCTCTCTGGCTCTGCTCTGCTTCCCAAACCCCAGCAGCTGTATCCCACCAGACCCTCCTGCCATGGTGTGCCTGCCTTGAGGCCCGCTGGCCGTGGACTGAATCACCTGAAACCATGAGCCAGATCCACCTGTTCTCTAAGCCATGGGTGTTGGCTACTTTGTCTCAGTGACAGGAAAGCAAATGCACCTAGAGACACAGCTTCCCCATGGGCGAAGTGGAGGGTTAGCCAATGCTGGCTCCTCTCTGTCCACTCTGTCCCTGTGGTTGTGCCCTGTTGCCTCTCTCTACCCTCCAGACTGACCAGTGCTTCTGGGGTGGATGTGGGGATCAGAGTAGTTCAGTGTGCTGTTGGGAGGATTTGGCCTGGATCAAGCCAGAGTGCTTTCCTTAACTTTTGGGGGCCAAAGAACCCCAAAGTTTGGAATCCAGAGACACTGGGCTCTGGGTCAGTCCCTTCAAGCAGAGTGGGCAGCTGCAGGCACCATCACCGCCCTGGGTAGGGCACTCAGGTGGTCAGAACCATGGAGAGGAAGAGTAGGAGATGGGAGGAATGGGGAGCATGACGTGGACCTACCTGGCTGGCCTGAGCCCTGGGAGGACCCCTCCACTCAGGCGTCCTGGGCCACATCCTCTCCCCTTCCCTCTGTCCCCTTCTGCCCACTTAGGTGTGTCCTCCCACACACGTGGCTCTGGTGCAGTGGCTGTCCCCCCTCATCACAACAGCCACAGGCACAGGTTGTCACAACCTACATGGCAGAGGTCAGGACCCAGAAGGGGAGCTGCCCTGTCAGGACTGCCTACACGGTGGATGTACATGGGGTGAGGTCCTTGGGGAGCGCTGAGCTGGCACTCAAGGGAGGGGAACCTAGGACACCCAGATGGAGGGGACAGTGGAGCAGAGGCCATCTCTCCGTGTGTCTTCCCTGATCTTTATATAAGGACACCAGGTGTTCTGGACTTAGGACCCACCCTCAATCCAGCAGACCTCAGCTAATCACATCTGTGATGACCCAATTTCAACAAAGGCACCAGTATCAGGTACCAGGATGACATCTTTTGGGGATCTCTATCAATTACCGTGGACACCCATCAAGCAGTATCCAAAGGGCCTGAGGAGTCTGTCCTCACCCCTTCATGAAGGCCACCAGCAGAATAGGGGCTCTTGGGGCAGAGTCCCTGAGGAGGCTTAGTGTGGGTGGTCATGGGCGAGGTTGAGACGGGGCTGTCTCTGCAGTGGGGTCCAGGCCCTGGTTAATCCTGATTGTCAGCCTGACTTGACTGAGATGCCCAGCAGATTGGCAAATCTCACTCCTGGCGTGGCCAGAGATGATTGGCATGCGGGACAGGAAACTGAGGGCGGAAGTCCCACCCCATGAGAAGGGTGCTGTCCAATAGGCTCACAGCCTGGACGGAGTGGAAAGGGGAAGGAAGAGGAAGTCGGCCTGCCCGGAAAAGCGCTGTTCCGCTGAAACGAATGTGTCCTCTGCTTCTGTTGCTGCCGGTGGATTCCGACTCCGGCGCATTCAGCCTTCAACGTGGACTCGCAGGCTGCCTCTCCTGGCCTCCTGGCCTCTGCCTCGCGCTGGTGCTGTACTCTTGGTCTCTCTGGTTCTGCAGCTTCCAGCTTCTCAGCCTGAGTGGCAGCGGCTGTGGCTTCCCCACCTCTGGTCCTGTAAGCTGGTCCGACCCCTCCCCTTGCACGATCACATGTTTCCATTGCTCAGTTCCTCTGGAGAACACACTGTGACTGACACAGCACGCGTGGAGAGCAGGTCTCAGGCCTCCTTCCCGTGGGTGACAGTGGGGCCTATGAGCTCCAGTCCACTCTGACCCTGAGCAGGACACAGAAGGAGGTCCTCAGGACACTGGGGTCTCTCCTCCTCTCCACAACCAGCCGCCCCCACTGGGGCCAGCAGCTGCCTGGCCGAGCTCACACTTCAGACTCGCAGGACCATGTTCTCAGCACCACGCCCTGGGCTGGCAGAGACAGGGCCCGACTTGCTGTGAGATGAATCTCACAGGACAGTGGCATCTCACCGTGTATTGGGGAGCCCTAGTTTGAGCCACCGTGACCCCACCTAGCCACCCTGTGTGTACCCCAGGTTTGAGGAGAGCTGGGGTCCAGCATGAGGGGGCCTGGTGGCAGAGGCGGGGATGTTGGTGGCTCTGGTTTCCTCTCCTTGAAGGGCCAGGGACAGGAGCTGCCAGGGATGGCAGTGGGGAGGCTGCTGGTAGGCCCCAGGGTGGGGACAGTGGCTCCGTGGGCAGTTATCACAGGAATTGACCCAGTCTGGGGCAGGGTTAGGGCTGCCACCCAGACTTAGGGCTCTGCCTCCAGCCTTGTAGTGTCTTGGCTTCCGCAGGCTTGGAGTTCCCTTTGGGGGTGCCCACCCTAAGCTCAGCTATGAGAACTCAGGCTGATGGCTATGGAGGGTGGGATGGAGGAGGTGCTGCTTGGCCACCAGCTGCACTGGCCACGAGGCCCAGCGTGGGCAGGGCAAGGGGGCAGCCCACCCATCGGCTGCCTTTGCAGTGGGCCACTGTGTAGGCACCACAAGGAGGCTTGAGCCATGGTACAGGACCAGAGCCGAGCTGGGTTCCACCGCCATTGCATGTGATCCGTGGAGCCCGGGACGTCTCCGGGAGAGACATATGGAAGCAATTACTCCAAGAGCCGTCGTTTGAGTAATTCCCAAAGAGACACCAGGGCCGGTGCGCGCGAAGCCTGGTGCATGGCGCCCTAATGAAGCAATTAAGGCAAGGATCCTCCGACTTTGATCTCGATGGGGTAATTTTTACAAAAACATCACGGAGTGATAGATACCCATAACTCAGAGTCCTTAATTGTACTTAATTTGTTTGGAATACGAATGTGCATTTAATTAAGCCCCAGCGTGGCCCGCATGCTTCCAGCAGGGCTGTCAAGGAAAATTAAGACCCAGTTTGCTTTCAAAGTTACTGGTTTGTATCAGGCAAGGACAGCAGTCTTCGAACAGAAGGTTAGAGATAATTAGGCCGCGAGCCACAGCCTGAGAGAGGCACCGTGGGGGAGGGAGGTGGGGAGACCCCAGACCCAGAGTCCGGGTCTGGCTTGCAAGCACAGGGCCCTGCTGGGCTGGCCCTCCAAAGTGTGCGCTGTTGGCCCTGTTCCTTGGCCACGCTGGCTCCTGGTAGATCTTAATGACAAAGACACACATGAGATGGGGCCCATGCGGGCAGGGATGGTCCCGACCATGCTCCAGAGTAGCCGGGGACAGTGAGGGGCCAAGGAAGGGCTGGCCTTGCCCCTGGCCGAGTGGCCCTGCCTGTCAGTCCCCATCCCTGAGTGTTGTCTGCAGTGTCTGGGGTGTACAGGCTCTGGTGGTTAGGTGTACTCTGGGAAAGGTGTTAGGGGGTAGATGACTGAGCACCAGCAGATCCAGCAAACACGGGGTCTCCCTGGGACAAGGGGCACAGAGCGGGAACAGGATGTAGTCTCTGCCTTGCACCCTGCCAAGCCTGGGCTCCTGGGGACACTGAGGCTTGCCTGGGACCTGGAGGACACTGTCAGGTTTGGTTGGAGCAGCCCTGTGGGGGACAGTGGTCATACCCCACAGCTGACACGCACACATACACGTGTGGCACACCCATGCATGTGTGCTCAGACCCAGGTGCACACACAGATAGGTTCACACATGCACACCCCTTTCCACACACAAGCACTCACACGCACCAGCAACCTCTCAGTCTGCTGGTTGTGAACAGAGTAGGGTGGGGCTCTGACCACGGTGGCTCTGCCCATGTGGCCCACTGGACACTGTGCTGTGTTTGCCAGGGAGCTGTGAAGAGTCCACTCCCCCCACCCTGGGCCACTCACTTCCCTGTAGTCCTCACCACGAGGTCCCTACTTCAGGTCTGGCTAGGCAGGGCTCCCTCCCCAGCGTCCTGGGAATCTGCAGCCCCGCGGGAGACTCTCTGCCCTGCTCTGTGTCAGCCCCAGTTCTGGCCATGGGGAGGTGGTCCAGGGCTAGTGCCAGTCCAGTAGAGGCAGCGTCTCTGAGCATGAGCCTCGGCCCCCTTCCCAGGCGGGTGATCTGTGCCTTGGTGAGCTCTGCCCATTCTCAAGCTGTGTTGCATCTTTCCTCGATGGACGATTGGTGGTTTGTTGGTGGCCTCCCTTTCAGGTGTTGAGAGGCTCAATAATGCTAGCGAGACCCCACCTGTGAGGGACAGGTCACTGAAGTGGAGGGCCCTGGGTGCAGCCAGGGTCACTCACCCAGACATGACCCCAGCAGCGGGAGCCTCACCAAGGAGGCCCTGAGGACCAGCCTGCCCCTTGGGGCTCTGTCCCCAGGCTGCTGAGCTTGCAGTGACTGTGGAGTGCAGGTTGCAGATGTGTGGGGAGCCCCACAGGTGAGACTCAGGGACCGCCAGGCCACGGTGCTGTGCAGGCATCCTGGGGCCAACCAATAACTGCACAAGATGCTGTTTTAGGCTGGAGGCTGCAGTCTGAAATCGAGCTGGGTCCTCAGGGCGTGAGGGAGAATCTGCTCAGGGTCTCTCCCTGCTTGGGGGCCTGGTGTAATCTGCAAGTTCTTGAACTTGTCAAGCATCACTCCGACCTCTGCCTCCCCACAGGGCATCCCTGCTGTGTGTCCGTCTCTGTGTCTCCTTTTCATAAGGATCCCTGATACTGGACCTGTCTTCATTGTTATGATTGCATCTGCCGTTACCTGTGTCCAAAGACGTTTACATTCTGAGGTCCTGGGGCCTTAGCTTCTACGTAGGATTTTTGGAGCATACAGTGATCCTCAGAGGTTGCTGAGAGTTCTGAACAGGTAGCTATGGATTGGGATACCTAGCGCGCTGTGGACACAGAGTAAGAGCCACATCCTGCGTTACCAGTGAGGGCTTGTTCCCCTGGCTGGCGTTACTGGAATGCCTGCCTGCAATGCTTGAGGAAATCCAGCTCCCTCCACTACAGCCTGTGGCTCACCCAGCCAGGGCTGCCAGGGGAGTAAGCCCTCAAGCGCCAGCACTGGCCAGGGCAGTGCTGCCGGTAAGGGCCAACCAGGAGTAGGGTCCGTGCTGGGAACCTCCAAGATGGACTTGGGTGAAAGTGTTGGTCTCAGGGATGTTGGTAACTGAGAGTGCCAGGTCCCCTGGGTGACCCAGGCAGGGCTAGTGGGTACAGGGATGGTTCCCACTCTGACACCTGGGACCATCGGATACCAGACAGTCCCAGAAGAGCCCCAGGCCCTGGGGTTGCCCTCTTGGGCATAAGTGCTGCCCAGCAGCTGCAGGTGTCTCTGAGAAGGCACAGTGGCACTGGGATTTCTAATGCAAAAAATCAGGAGGCCAGGAGGCCACCTGGACAAAGCCAGCTGGGGTAGCCATTCTCCCAGCTCCTGCGGCCAGTTGGGCCTTGGTGCTGCCACTGGTGGGTACTAAAGAAAGCCCCCTGGCAAGCCTGGCAAGGGAGAGCTAGAGCCCACAGGCCTGGCACCTCAGGGTATCTAAGAGGGCTTGGACCAGAGGCCCCACCTGGTGACCAGCACAGTCCAGCCCTTGGCAGGTAGCATGGTGCAAACTATCTGCACACGTGTGTTTCCAGTCAGCGACCACCGTGCTGGCTCGTGCCTCTGCAGAATAGGGCCAGGCCCTCTGTAAAAGCCAATGTCCCTCCCTGTCCACGGAGAGGGGGCAGAACCACAGCCATGATGCCCATTTCCAACAGGGACCTCAGAGTCGTCTCTGCTCACCTTGGTTTCTCCTGTAGGTCAGTGAAGACATCGTCTAGGTGTTTGTAATGTGTAAATTGTCTCAAGTTGACCAGAAAGGAAGAATTATAGGCAAGGCAAGGGAGGAAGGAGAGATCAGTGCAAAGACTCACATGCACACACCTGTGTGCATACACACGTGGACACGTACACAGCACGTATGCAGGAAAGCTTGCACATGTGCATGGCCGCTGTGGCCTGGTCTTGTGCTGTGGTCCATACGAAGTTCTCTCTGTCTGCCAGCATCTTGGTGGTTAGGGTTTTGAGCCCTGGTTTGGGGTGACCAGAATGGTCATTGCTATTGGGTATGCATCCTCAGGGGTCCCTCTCTTTTCTCTCTCCTTCCCTTTGGTTACTGTAGTCTACTGACTTCTTCTGTTGCACATGGAAGGACCACGAGGCACTAAAGATGCCCAGGTTCCCAGCTACCTTCTTCTGTCGATGAGCGGAAACCCACTTGTCCCCAGCACGTGTGCATCAACCCCGTCAGCTGGTTCGGCAGCATGCACAGCCCTGAGGGCCACCTGCCAGCCTCCGCCACCAATCCATGGAACCCCTGGTGCGTCATCCCTGGTGGAAGCCTCCCTCCTGTGATCAACAAGACTCAGAACGTGAGCTGTGCAGTGCAGAGTGGAGGACAGGAAGCAAACATTCTGGAACGGGGTGAGGAGCGAGGTGAACGGAGCCCCTCGTGACCTGGGCCCCAGTTCTGCGCATCGGAGGGGCAGCATGTGTCTCCTTTCAGCTTTTAGCTGGTGGAAGCCAGCTCTCGGGTGTGGCCACTTCGCTGCACTGCCCCTGGGTTTCTAGGGGGCTGGGGGTGAGGGGGAACACGAGGACCCAAAGAGTCCTGGGGTGAGTGCAGAGAGTGTGACACTCACTGAGCTGACAGAGGCCGAGGAGCCCTGGTGCCCTTCCCTGCGTGGCCGAGCTGTGGGACCAGGTCCCCGGAGGGCCCTTCGCTGCCGTCTGCTGTGGCAGGGCCAGCGTACCTGTGAGATGCCAGTGGCACAGCTCCCAGAGAAGCCACCAGAGGGCCCCTGGGTGCTTTTGTGCTGTGGCAGGTGTCACAAGGTTGTGGTGACAGCGGTGTTCCCGTTGGGTAAGTGTTGGTACAGCTAAGTGAATGCGTGGCTGCTGGACCACAGATCCACAGACTTGGGACACAGCTACGCCACTCGCAGCCCAGAGGCTGAAGGCTGAGATCTGTGTGGATGGCCGGACCCTTGCCAAGGGTCCCGCACGGTCCCGCATCCCTGGGCTGGTGGCCGCATCATCCCATCCCTGCGTCCCCCATGTCTCTGTATCTGCTGCTACACTCAACCCCACCTTGACTGCGTCAGGTCTGAGGGGTCATCTCCCCAGTCAGTCCCCACACACAGGTCCTGGGCCTTTGGACTTGAGTCCTACAGCAACACACCATGGCCATGTTTTGGGGGCCCTAATTGGCACCCATTTGTTGGGGACAAAGAGTAGTGTCATCTCTGCAGGGCCTGTGCCCCTGGTCTGGGGAGCTCAGAGCCCAGGAGGGTGCTGAGATGGAGGGCCAGGCACACCCAGGAACAGGGCCCTACTGGAACCCTCCCTGCCCACCCCTCCCCTGCCCATGGGGGCTGCTGTAGGGACCATGCCCTGCCCCACCAGTGGCCCCACCGGGCTCTGGAGTTGGAATCTGCAGAGGGGAAAAGCTGAGGACATCTTTCGTGGTTTTGTCTCCATCCCTGGGTCCCAGACCTAGGCTGCCACCCTCCACCGTGGTTTGCTGTGGCCTCCAGTAGCTCCATGTAGGCCTTGGGGGTCCCCAGCCACCAGCATGACCCAGCCTAAGTACGAGTCCACAGCCCCGCTCTGCAGTGCCCCACGGAGCTGCCACCCACCCCTGCCCCTTCTGGCCTGGGCACCCACATCCGGCTGACAGGCCTGTCCCCTAATGTCCTCTCCTCTGCCGGGTCCCGCAGGTGCTTCTGTCTCCCCGTGGGAACAGTGCTGACACCCACATGTCTGGGAATGAGTAGAGGAGTTCAACCACTTCAGCCCGGCTCGGGACGGTTCCGTGACGCTGTCCAGAGCATCGTGCCACTGTGTGACATGGTGGTTACGGAACTGCCACAACCCAGCGGTGATCAGGCTGCTTTTGGAGTAACTGCCACAGGGACCGTGCTGGTGGCTGCGGGCTGGGACGGGGGTTGACCTTTGTGGTACGAGCCCGCCGGCAGGCGTGACAGCTCCAGCTCCAGCTCCAGCCAGAACCAGAGACCCGTGGTGGTGGCCCTGAAATAATCTCATTTCTTTTAGCCCCAGGGAGAGAAATGCTGCAAAGGAAACCGGAATTGAATTGTGTAGACTGTGGAAACAGAGGAAATTGGACCCCTGGGTTTGTCAGTCTCTGCTGTGAAAACCCAGGCGCTTCTGGGGGGGGGGGGCTCAGAGGCTGGGGGCCTGGGGCAGGGCAGTGCGCGTGGACTGGGGCAAAGACAGAATCGGACCCCAAAGACCCACCAAGGTGCCCTCTGCAGAGGCTGACTCCACCCAAGCTGGGGACCCCAGCCATCCTCACTGGGAGACCCTGCCTCTCCTCATTGAGCGCAGCTGTGGCAGGGAGCTCCTACCCTCCTTGAGACCCAGCCGCACCGGTCCTAGATGCCCAGCAGGTGGATGTGTGCTCTCAGGACGGGGACGGTCCGGGGGAAGGTCGCATGCAGGTAGGTGTGGGTTTTGTTGAGCAGGTGGCAGCGGCCTGGGCGCTGTTCTGGCTGAGGCAGTGCTTGGCGCTGCCCTAAGCCTTCTCACACACAGGGATGGTGGCTGCTGTGCGGCTGAGGCCATGGGAGGAGGGAGGGTGGCCTGGGTGCTTGGTGGCCAGGCCTGGATGGACTCTAGTGGCTGACAGTCAAATCCACCAAGATGCCAGGCTCTCCAGACGGTGGGAGTGGGCATCCCAGGGCTTAGGGGACCATGTGAGCTGCCTTCATTGTGTTGGTCCCACACCAGAGTGACTGGAGAGGACACCAGTGCCTGCCTGGCACCAGAACAAACTCTGAGGGGCCCAGGACAGCGTCAGAGAGGTCTCCCTGCCTCTCAGGTTGCTGGGGGTCTGTCACAAATCACTGCCAGCTGACGAGGCAGGCACATGCACCCGCAGGAGGCCAGAGGCAGAACGCACCCAGCCTGCTGCTGGTCGCTGCTGTCACAGGGCTAAGTCCTGTGATGTGTTGGTGTCTCTTCTGGCTTTCTATTAGGAGGACAACTTGGGGGGCTTTTCAGGTCCTGGGGACAGTGTAGAATGCTGTCCCCATCGCAGGAGCCTGGACCGAAGTGTAGGGATTGGCCATAGAGGGGTGACACTGCTGGACCCCAGGTGTCAGAACACACCATCCTGGACCAGGCAGGAGGGTGGTGTTGGCCCTGTGCCCAGAGCACTGGTGGTCAGGGCTTCCCAGCGGCTCTGTGACTGAGCAGGATCCTGTGGCCAGAGGACAGGTGCTCAGCCCTGGGATTGTGATGCATGGTGAGGCTGCTGGGGCCCTGGGCTGGAGTCCCGTGCCACACACTGGCTATGCCTTCACAGGGAGATGGCCCTGGGGATCCCGGCTCTTGGGGATGACACTCAACTTTCCAGGGTAGCCCAGTCTGGGTGGGGGGGGGCAGGCAAGGGCAGTACCTGCTGGCCTCAGGCACTCAGCATGTCCACAGCATCAGACATGCTGGTGACAAGTGAGGACACACTGCAAACCGTGGTGATGCTTCGGCGGGATGGTGATGCAGAAGCCTAGAGTTGGGGACACAGTTGTCTCCCTGGGTGACTGTTCTCTTGAGAAATCACCAAGACCCAAAGCCTGACCCAGGAGGCCAGTGCAGTGCCCTGAGCTCGTTGGCGGGCCTGCAGGGCTCATAATGGTCTGGAGGTGGCGAGGACAAGTGTGGCAGCAGTGACCAGGCAGGCCAGCAGGGCGCGAGGCACACTGTGAAGGTATACAGCTCCACGAAGCTGCCCCTTCTCCCTGCCTCTGCACATGGGGGTTCCCTTTTGACCTCTGACGTCAGTTTAGGGGTCCTCAGGGCACCCTAAACTGCTTCCTGTCACCTCCGGGTGTGAACAGCTGCATGTCACAGCTCCAGCCAGGAGTCCCTAACGGGGAAAGGGGCACACGGAGGAGTGAAGCCCGCAGCAGCTTGTCCTCGGGTGGTGGCAGGCCTCGGAAGGAAGTGGGCTCCCACTATGGGTGATGGCAGCGGAAGACAGGCCCCTCCCCAGCTGGCCCAGCACCCCCTGGAACGCTGGCCAGCAGGGACTTCGTGGGACAGCACCAGCATTTGCCCTCCTGGAGCACTGGCTCATGAGAGCCCTGGAAGGGGACAGGCGGGTGGTGGGGGGCAGAGCTGGGCCTGCTTGGTTGGCCAGTAGGGGACAGGAGGGTGGTGGGGGGCAGAGCTGGGCCTGCTCGGCTGGCCATGGTGGGGCTCTGTGTCTGGTACCTCCTTCCTCCAGGCCACCAAGCCGAAGGCTCCCAGCAGACACTGGTGCTGGGCTTGACATCTCTTCCCCTGTGTCTCCCTGTTCTGCCCACATCTCTCTGTGACGTCCCTCAGGACCTTCCAGCCACCACACAGGTGTCTGGCTTCCTCCCCCTGCCTGTATTCTGACCATCAAGGCAGGCGTGCAGGCTGTGTCCAGGGCCTGCTGACCCAGGGACTGGGACAGGACTGTCCCTTCTCTCCACAGTGCTCCAGGACTCAGAAAGTACATGAATGACCGGGCTGGGCAGCGGGGACAGAAATGTCCTGTGTGCTGGTGAGAGTCGCCCAGAGGCCGGGCACTGGCTGAGGATGTTTCTGCCTGTGCCAACCTGAGGTGGGGGTGTGAGCCCCCACCGTACCGAGATGCTCCTGGTCCTTGTCCTGGGCTGCTCCCAAGTACCTACCTGGCCACGGGCGGGGCGGGTGGGTGAGCGGCTGTGTGTTTTCTGAGGCAGCACAAGGGTTCCCCTGGGGCAGCCCTCACCACATAATCCTGGGGATTTTCCTAGCGTGTCATTTTCATAGATGTGATTATAGTTGGGAGCCTGATATTCCGGTAATTATCTTCCTGGGCTTAATCCCCGTGCCCTGGTAATGCCATTAGCACTCCATGTGGAGGTGCCCTAAAACAGTGATTATTTAAAGTGTGTGCTATGCGGCTGGGCGACCTAACGTCACGCTCAGGCCCCCGGAGCAGAGCTGGGCTGGGCAGGACACTGTCGGAAGGGGCTGCGTGGAACTTTGACGTTCCTACTGGGGAACCTTCTGAAGCGGGCAGATCCACATGGACGGGACTGGGTTAGTGTCTTCAGGGTTGGGGCCAGCAGATGGATGGGGGTGCCCTGGGGACTGTGGTCTAGGGCTGTGGTCACCCTGGATGATGGTGGTCATCTCATTGATCCCAGATGTCCCAGGCCAGTGGAACTCTAAGGTCAGCTGTGGGCCCGGGGCGACAGTGATGGTGCGTCGCTGTCACAATGCGGCAACTCTAGGGAGGTCTGCTTTGCTATTATGGGGTAGTCCAGGATGGGGGCCTGAGGACATGGGCACTCTGTGTACCCCGCTCAGTTTTCCAGTGGACCTGAAAAAACTGCCGTCAAACCGAGGCTGCACACAGACGCCCGTACATGCGTGCATCCCACCCCTCGCCAGGGAATGAGCCCTGAGGACTGCCTGCAAACCACGCTCAGCACTTGGTCACCACAAGTGTTTGGGGGTGTGGGTGCCTGCCCTCCTCCTGCTGAGCTGACTGTGTGGACCAGTGCCATGGCCACCAGGAGCCACTGGGGACCCTGCAGACTGACCGGACTGGGCCATGCGCCGCCCGCTGGGGCCCGCTGCATGTGGGGGCAGGGCTGCGGAGGAAGTCCCCTGGGGACAGTGAAGTCGGGTTGGAATCTTTGTTAACAGTGGGCATGCATCTTTTAAATGATAAATCGATAAATACTTAATTCAATAGTAGAGCTCTCCTGAATATTTCATGCGGCCACCGTGCCACACTCTGCCTGGATGCCGACTGCAGAGCGACAGAGCACTTGGGCTCCAGCCTCCCTGCCTGCTGCCCGCCGTGCGGCCCCGCCCTCTGCTCGCTGGGGGGCCCTGGGGACCCTACCTGCCTGGGTCCCACGCTAGGGCCTCAGGTGTCATCCCTGCCTCCACCCTAACCTGCTCAGCAGGGAGGCAAGGAGAGCTGGGGTCTAGCTGCGCCCCGCCCCAGGGCCTGGCTCTGACTGCGGCTGCATGCGGAGGGGACAAGCGAGACTCAGTGAAGTGGCCGGGTGGTCCTCGCCAGGAGGTGGGGACGCTGACACACAGAGGGGTGACCATGGCCTCCAGGACAGAGAGCAGCAATGGCAGCCCCAGAACTGAAGCTGGGGACGGGTGTGGCCTCCCTTTGCCGACCTCACCCTCTGAGCCTGGCCATGTCCCCAGCTTGCTCACTGTGCCCCCTGCAGGGCCAGTGGCCCAGGCAGGTGAGGGGCTCTCAGGGTGCTCTGAGAAGCCACTGAGGGACTCCTGGAGGCCACAGGAGACAGGGCCACGTGAAGCAGGGCATCACTGCTACCACTGGGCCCGGTGTTCAGGGAGGGGCCTTGGGCCTTGGGCCTTGGCAGGGGAACTGGCCAGCCTGACCTGTGTCCTGGTCCCTGTCACAGCCCCTCATGCTCCTGGGCCTTAGGAAGGACCCAGTGTGCAGTCACACAGACAGATGTGGCAGCTCTGGAAGCCATGCTCCCGTCACCAAAGTCCACTTGGCTGGGGCACCTTGGGCCCAGGGCTGCCTCTGTAAGGCATTTGTGCCTCGCATGTCTGCTTGGCAGTGAGGGTGGCCCCCTGGTCCATGAAGGTGGCCGTCTGGTGCCCTCATCTGGAACCAGCTGAGGCCGAGCCCCGGGGCACCCATGCATGAGCCCAGCTGACAGCAGCCCCAGCAAATCCTAGTGCCTACCGGGCACTGCAGACTGGGGTCCTGCACAGCCTGGGCTGCATGCTGTGGGTGACTCCAAGTGGCACAGCCTGGTGGAGCGGGTGATCTTTGGGGATCCTGGCCAGCTGGGATCCCCTACTTTGGAGTTTGGCCTCACAGCCTTCGTGGCCTCATCTTCTGATTTGTGGTACTGCATGACCCTGGGTGGCGCTCGGGTTCCTTTTGTCTGGGAATTGCTGGCTTTGTACTCATTTCCTGGGGTCCCTCAATGCTGGGTCCAAAACACCCAGGACATAGGTGCACTGGGGGCCATGAGTGCAGAAGCTGGTTTGCTGTAGTGGTGGTGACGGTGCTGGTGGGTGCAGGCGACTGGTCCCCATTCCTGGCTCTCATAGGTGGGGCCGCTGCTCAGCTGAGTGGTGGCAGACTCCTACAGTGCCACCTTGTACAGCTGC